TCCAGTCACACTGGTTTAGTTAATTTGGCTGTAAAACATAAAATATTTTCAGATTTGAGCTTCTTGGCAGTGAAATTTTGAAAGGATTTTTGTAGATTTAGGCTGAACCGTCTGGCAGGATGTTAACTGAACAAACACAGTAGGAAAACTGGACGGGGTCCAGTCTGGGATAAGCTACACAGCTCACTTACCTCTCATCACTACGCAATATGGCTGCTGCACATTCAGCACCACCTGGGGGCGCTCTGATCCACTCACACAGAGATCCAACAGTCTTCTCAGATAGGTTTTTTATTTTATTTTATAAACAAGCATGTCTTTGGTTTATTTTGTTAATTTTTACTGTAGACGTTTGTGCTCTGACAATATGCGACAGAAGAAACGGTGGGAAAAAAAATGGCGGGAAAACGAAACGGTAACACCCGATTAACCCTCCGTTATAATTAGTGACGCATCACGTCTGCTGCACTCAACTTAAAAAGTTAGTTTTCTGTGTAAAACAGCAGAACAAGATTATTAAATTGTTATATTTCATTAGTTTACCATATTTAAGTTTTATAACAAAGGTTTTAGAGCACACTGAAGAACTAAACAGGGCTGAAAATCAACATAACTTATTGTATGTTGTTGATGCTCAACTTTACATTTCTGCTCACGCAAACAGTAACCAAAAAAAAAAAGAAACAAAAAACAAAAAAACATTTTATCCAAACAAAGCTGCTCACAACAAAATGACCTCCATTGCTAATAGCTAACATTGTTAGCCACTGTTCAGTCCTGTTAACTTACAAACTGAAATAAACTTTTATTTGGCTGCCTCTAAACAAAATTATCTTAAACATTTTACACTTGATGGCAAGCTTGCTTATTATTGATTATAATAATATGTTTTATTAGCTAAAACAGTGTACTGTTAGCAATGTTTAGACAGCGCTGTGTGTGCGACTGGATTACTGTCACAGTGGTGGGCATGGTTCCATTAATTAGATAATTTATTTTTGTTTAGCTGATTAGCTTGTTCGCTAACTTTAAAAACGTTAAGCTGACCAGTTAACTTCCACTAAATTAAGTTTTTCCAACTTTACTTCAGCTGGTAGCCATCAAACAACAGGTTTGTGTCAGTCCCACCAGTCTTATCAGACTGTCGTCTTAGCAGTTAGTAGTTAGCAGTTAGCTGTTAGCGATGACTTCTAAATGTTTACATCCYCTAATTCAGAGGTTCTCAAACTGGGCTCCGCAAGAGTTCTCTTGGGAGTCCTCAAAAAATTTCACTAAATTGTTAATTTGGTTTTTATTTTTAAAAATGCATGAAGAACAATTATCTAATAAAACAAACTTAATAAAAATATATATTCCCATGGCATTTAGGGGTTGAAATGACAATAAARTATCTTTTAAAACAGCAGTGGGTTTATGAGGGGTTCCCGGGAATTTTTTCGCCCTTGTAAGGTGTCCCCAGACCCAAACGGCTTGAGAACCCCTAAACTAATTGTTCTTGCGTGTTTAACGTTAGCAAAGCTATCACTTTAGTTAGCAGATTATGAGTTAGCAAAGCTAACTTTTTGGTAAGCTGTYCCCACCATCGTTGATACACAAACCAACAAAAGTGAAAGTAAAAACTCCCAACTTTCCATGCCTGAATCAGACAGATTGGATTTTGAGGTTGGTCAGTAAACTCAGACTTTAAGTTGGATATCCAAAATTGAGGTCCGTTCCAGCTGATATTTTTGACTTCCAAATACAAATATAACGCACCACCAGACCAGCAGGCCGCCATTTTTGTCTACAAGGTAGCTGGAGCTAGCCGCCATGTTCGTCATTAGGCCTAATTCAAAATGGCCTCAGCATGATGAAGCAATTTGAAATGACGTCAGTCCATTAGGTGCTACAAATAAATACGAAATATTTTAAATGCAGATGAATCCATAAATATTACACAGAGTGCAGCGATGGTAATGCGTCATTGATGATGGATGATCTGGGTTCACGTTAGCCGAAAGAGGAAAACGTCACGGAGCCTGTCAGACCAGATGGATGTAGTAACCAGGCTATGGAGCTGGACCTAAAACTGAAAAACTCCAGAGGTTAAAGTTCACCTGCGTGGAGGTGAGCGCAGGTCAGACCAACTGGGCAACCAAAGGACAACGGCATGGCCTCCAAATCACCAAAATTACTTCAGCACTTAATAGCAAGAGAGTCGTGGACAAAAAATGTTTTATAACAAAACAAAACATTGACAATTCTACATAATATGAGACAAACATATTTAAACTGTTAGGATATTTGTGGGTTTTGTTGCGTATAAAMTTAGGAGTTGAATCCAGAAGTGGATGTTTGAGGAGGTAGCACACGGATCCACTGTTACTGTTTTCTACAGGACTGTGAATCAGATTCTCGGAGGAGAGAAAACGTTTTTATGCAAGTGAAGCCAGCGGCTCTGTCCTCGCACCGAATGACTCGAGATTTCCACAATAAGAGCCGCCGCCGCCGCCGCCACGCTCACACTTCAGGCTTAACCAGGATCTATCAGGTATAAAAAGAGTTTCTTTATTTTTCACTCAAGTGGACGTTTCCCCACGTAGCAGAACGGTAAACCTCAGTGCAGTTTGCACGCTGCAGAAATTTAAATCACCTGTAAATAAACACATGAAAATAAATAAATAAATCCCTGACTCGGGGCGATAAAATAAAAAAATTAAAAAAACAGGGCTGGGCAATATGAAACAAAAATCTGTAATATTTAAAACCACAAGACCTCGTAAGTGTCCTGCAGCCTCAGAAAATTCTTGTTTTTAACTTTACAAACGTTTTTGAGTTCACGATTAACATTGACCTCAATGTCCGCCTAGCATTTTGTTTTCATGAACAAAAACACTTAAATGTGTTTTATTGCACACACATCACAGTATTTTATTAGTTTCATTTAAAGCTGACTGTTTACGTTAACGTATGTTGGACGGAGGATCTATCCACAGTACTTGGCATAGGTTTCGTCCCCACATTTAAATAAAAACACACCACACCACTAAGAACACCCACATCCAACGATACGTCAAAATACAGAAAAAGAACATTTGTAGCTTGGCTCAAGATTTTCTTTTTTTTTCTTTTTTCAAAAAATATCTTTGCAGGCTGCTATGTTAGCTTTTTCTTTAAATAACGCCATATTTTGATACACCAAAAATGTTTGTACATAAAAAAACAGAACAATTTTGTGTGTAAATGGAAGGCAGAAACGCAACTTTTGGTTTAAAAATATCCTAAGGAGTGTGGATGCGATCTTTTCAGTGGTTTCCAGCTAAAATTTGCTAATCATCATGGAAACTTTAAAAGTTTTGTCCTTTTCTTTGGTCACAATTATCAAAAACTGCTTAAAAAGAAAGATATTTAGTTAAAAATTACCTTACTGATACAATAACAGTACAAACCCAGTTCAGAACCGGTCTAAACTGGTCTATTTGGCTCAGACCGGTCAGACAGTTTGATAAAACGCTAACCGTTAGCTTGTGTCTTTCAGATTTAACATTTACATTTACTCARTTTAAAGCAGTAAAATCAAATTGTAACAATTGAAACATTTACTTATATCAAAGATGGCCTAGTTTTGTTAAAAAACTTAAAATATCAAACAGTGATGCTAAGCTAACTAAAGTTAAGCAGTCTGGTTTTAACGTGTCTATCCAAGTTAGTGTAAATGTGGTTGAAAGTGGTTTCTATCTGAAATAAGCAAAGTGATTTTTTTTATTAGCATCAACTTCTTAATGTTTTTTGAACTCTAACGGGCAAAATGAGCCATTGGTTTCAATAAAAATAAGCCCAAACCCAGTTCAGAACTGGTCTAAACCGGTCGTATCTGGCTCAGACCGGTCAGAAAGTTTGATTAAAAATGCTAACTGTTAGCTTGTGACTTTCAGGTTCAACATTTAAATTTAGTTTAAACACTTTTAAAGAAAACTAATTATAATGGTTGAAATCTTTACATGTATTGTAAAGGTAGCCTAGTGTTGAGTTATTTAAAAAGCTTAAATATCAAACAGTGATGCTAAGCTAACTGAAGTTAAGCAGCCTGAATTAACATATCCGAGGCAGCGTAAATATGGTCTGAAAAACAAAATTTTATTTTTCCAATTAGCATCAACTTCTGAATGTGTTTTGAACTCTTAACTGGCAAAATGAGCTGTTGGTTTAATAAAAAAGCCCAAACCCAGTTCAGAACTGGTCTAAACTGGTCGTATCTGGCTCAGACTGTTAAGTCAGGTGCTGAAATGCCAACGTTTAGCTTGTGACTTTTAGGTTAAACATTTAAATTTAGTTAAAATTTTAAGCAGTGAAATTAAATTCTAATTACAGTACCACTGAACCCTTTATTTATATTTTAAAGATGCATTTAGGCAGGCAGTAAGTCATAATAACTGTAACGGTTAAGCTAACCAAAACTAAACTAAAGCTAAAGCAGTCTGGTTTTATAACGACACGTTTACATCAATTTAAATGTTACATTTTATGTCATTCTTATTTTTTTACAGAATACCTCACTTATTTTATCTACATGTTCAGTTTACCATGCCAATATACGTTTCGTTAGCTAGTTAGCTTTTTTAAGCTAATGCGGATTGAAAACGAGAGGAATTGAAGACGTTTCTTAGTCTGATAACTTTGTATGTTTTCTACAAAAAAAACATGTTAGTTGTGAGTCGAACGTGTTGTGTTTGAAATATTTCAAGCAAAAAAATTAAAATAACGTTAGAAAAGACAACGTTGGACATGTTGCCCAGCTCTTCATATAAAAACATGAAGTTTGTTTTCCTAAAACAAAAACAAGCATTTTTTTATTAATGATTTGTTTTTAATGAACAAAATATTGTGCAAGTTTCACAGATGCCCAAATCAAATGAATTTTATGTTTTTCTAATTTAGTTTGTGTCTGCAGGGCCTGGCAGGGTTTTGTTTTCAGTCAGACCAGGTCTGGTCCTGTTGGGGAAAAGTCGGATCGAAGTTCAGCTGACCACAACTAACCTTTTATTTAATGGTTTTACCATAAAAGCATTAAAGTTTCTTATAGTAAAGGCTTATTTTTGAGGTTTATGATCATTTTGTACAGACTTTGTACATTTCTGTTAGTTTAATAATTGATGGTGAACCTCAGCTGAAAACCCGACTTTTCCCCTCAGTTATTATTTCTTAGAATTATATAACAGCTTCTGTTCTTGTTTTACTTTTTTATTTTTGAACTGTGAAAAACGGCCAAACCTCAGTCATCATCATTATCATTTCTTTATTTTAAGGCTTCACTTTTTGTTTGATTATATCAAGTTTGCTCTGTTAAAACATGCCAAACTTTGTGTTTGTGTTTCTTTAGCTTGTCTGAAACTACTTGCCTTTTTGTTCTGTGAATCTCTTGTTTATTATAAATAATCTCCAGTAACCTTGGCCACAATATGCCTAATTATAAATGAAATCATTTAAGCATAATCACCTAATGAGATTACTCTTTACTGTTGATTCCTCAAAGTATATCCTAATATATTGAAGCTGAAAATAGAAAAAATGGAATTTAGTAAAAGAATTTTGAATATTGTACATGTTTTTTAAAAGGAGGTACCTAACGAGCTCTTTTAGCAGACAAACCTGAAAGGTTTTATGTGAAGATCTTTTATGTTGCATGTGTTTGTTGCTAAATCATGTTGGAGGGTGTGTGCGTGTGAGTGTGTGCGCGCGTTTGTTTGAGAGGCCAAAGGTCGACTAGTTTAGAAAAATGTGAAGAAGCTTCTTTCACTATAACCACTAGATCACTCACAGGTCGGATCTCCTTCAAAGGAAATAAAGCACTTTAAGTGTCGAGCAGCTGAGACTCTTCTTCTTTTCTTCATCGTACTCTTGACCCTGCTGCTGTCCTTAGTTCAAAAATGAGGTCTCTGGATCGTTTCCACCCAAGACTAGCAGGGCATTAGACAAAAACGGTTCCAAAAATGGTGCCTAGATCCTTTTTTCTACTGGTCAGATTTAAAAACATAATGCAAAAGTTCGATATCATTTATTTTGAAACATTTCGTGATTAATCGTACACAAGCAATGGTTATAGAGCTTTATGTTGCATGAGACATTTAACTAAGTTAAGCTCCTTTTAGATTAAAAAATGCATCATTGGAGGCTTCGACTGAAAAATGACAACAATCTGTTTGGCCGGTTTTCTGTTTCCATCATAACTTTCATTTAACTGCTGCAGTTTTGGAAAACCTCAACAGTGTTTTGTTTTTGTAGCAGTTTATAAACAGTGAAGACAAAATGAGCAAAAAAAAAAACTAAGCATTTTTATATCGACAGTTTGATTTAGTTAAAACAAGTAATATATTCAATCAGCAAATATTGGTTTGACCCTCCTGCTGCCCTTGGATCAAAATTATTGGGACATGACACACCAGTTTTAAGACCTTGAGGGTCATATGGACCCAAAAGCGTTTAGCTTCTATGAGATCAATTCATTTCTGAAGACATTATTAAGAACTAATAGTAAAAACAATCTGTAAGAAGTTTAATCTTATAAATGATGCAGTTTTGTGTAATTAGATAATTTAGGAGCAGGGGTCAGACACTCGGCCCACAAACAGCAGTGTGTTCAGGGTCGGTTCTCTGATGAGCACCAAAAATGGACGGTCGGCCAGAAAAACCTCGCGGTTCAGGTTTATGGAACGTCCGACGGCCACCACAACTGTGGCTGCTGCTGCTTCACTTCCCTCTTCATTCACCTGAAACCAGAAAACATTTAAAATTATAATCCTGTCCTCCATTTTGGTCTGGATCCACCATAAAACCACCTCATACAGTCAACCTGACAAATAGTCGGTCTGTCAACCAACCAAATGATCAACCTATCAGTCTGTCAGCCAACCAACTAATCAACCAATCAATCTGTCAACCAACTAATTAATCAACCAATCTGTCAACCAACCAACTAATCAACCATTCAATCTATCAGCCAAACAACCAATCAGTCTGTCAACCAACCAACTAATCAACCAATCAATCTGTCAACCAACTAACTAATCAACCAATCTGTCAACCAACCAACTAATCAACCATTCAATCTGTCAGCCAAACAACCAATCAATCTGTCAACCAACCAACTAATCAACCAATCAGTCAACCAACCAACTAGTCAACCAATCAATCTGTCAACTAACCAACTAGTCAACCATTCAGTCTGTCAGCCAAACAACCAATCAATCTGTCAACCAACCAACTAATCAACCAATCAATCTGTCAATCAACCATCTAGTCAACCAATCAATCTGTCAACCACCCAACTAATCAGTCTGTCAACTAACCAATAATCCAATCAATCTGTCAGTCAACTAACATTACAACCAATCTTTCAATCAATAAACCACCCAACCAGTCTGTCATTCAACCAATCGATTCATGTACCAACAAATAACCAACAATCCAACCAGTCAGTCAACCAGCCAACCAATATGTCATCCAAACAACTAATCAATCAATCTGTCAAATCAACCAACCAATCTATTAGCCAACTAATCAGTCAACCAACTAATCAATCAACCAGTCATTCAATCAACAAGTTCGTCCATTTGTCCCCATATTTTAGTCCCAAACAGCCAAATTTCCAGTAATCTTTTTAAGCGTCTTTTGTCAGTAGTTCTTCAGTCTTTCTGAAGGATTTTGTTTGAACTTTGGCTGATTTTTCACTTTGTTTCATGAATTATATAACAATGAAAATGAGTTTCTGCTCACAAAACAAACAAAAACWAGTTTTTTTTTTCTGACTGACCTCCAAGAATGCTTTGTGAAAAGCACTAGAGATATAGAGAGAATCACTGCCATCTTCCAGGATCCCTGAAACACAAACAGGAATTTATACAATTAATGTAAATAAAACATTTTCCTGCTCCAACACTTCTGACTAATCACACCAACAAACCAAACCTTTGGTAAAACTGAACACTGACTCATTCTATTGACCTTTTGACTTTAAAAGGAGGAAAAACTTGGGTATAAATTCCACCTGCTGTCCCCTAAACTGGAAACCAGTCCGGTCTGGTATTTTTGGACCCGGCTCAGAGGATGTAGTTAAGGTGGACCCACCTGGAAGGCTGGCCTTACTGGCGTCGAACAGGTCCATCAGTCCCATCTCCTGCAGCTTCTCCTTAAGGTTGAGGTTGTCCTCCATCCTGAAGCGAGGGACGGAGACAGAGACGGTGGTTTCTTTCATCTGGCTCAACCAGCCGTTCAGTTTCTTCAGGTCCAGATTTTCCTCCACCTGAAACCAGAAGCAGAAATTAACAAAAACAAAGGAAATCCAGCAGGGTTGCTGCACACTGGTTAAATGGTTGGTCTAACGTGAAGGTTAGTTAGTTAGTTAGGTTGCAGCAATCAGGATTACTTGACTGAGTGAATTCCCCATGCTTGGCAGGATGATCACCATGGTGATGTCATCACCTCGGTACGGCATCTCCAGCAGTTGCACCTTGTCGTCAGGGAAATATTTGTACTGAAACTTGGTCTCCTGGTACATCATGTGGACCTCGCAGCGGCGATCGTCATTGATGTTGAAGTCTGAAAGAAGCACGTGCTCTTTGGGAAACTTGTTTTTCCACTGACCCTGAGAAGTAAAAAAAAAAAAAAAACTTTTAGATTAGACAAAAAGTCACGACAATGGAGTTTCTCAGTCAAGTCTGAGCCTAGCCACCCTACAAAGGAAGCTCCTATTATCTGCTTGGATCTGATCTCTCAGACCTTTTGGTCATGATCCAAACCTCATGACCACAGGTTAGGGTTGGAACAACACCTCCTGTTCCTGGGAGCTATGTTGTCTGTGACCTCACCACTTGGTAGGGTCTCCATAGCAAACAGGCCTCAGGTGAGGTTTCAGACCAAGAGCCATTGACAAACCTTGATGGATAAACTTCATTTAGATCGGCAGGTCTGTGGGGGCTCAGCCAGCCAAGCCCAAAAATATACAAGATGTCACCTCTATTTGGATCCACCTGTAAGCCCAGAGGTATTTCTTAAAAGTAGTTCTTAAATACCTTGAAGAAGATGGTGTTGACAAGAACCAGGACTGTGTTGGAGTCCAGTGCCCCCGATGGCAGCGTGTCCTGGATTCGGTTATTGGTCTTGTTGGAAATCCAGTCATTGATGGTGACCCGAGCCGCCTCTGAGTTCCTCTGAGACATAAAATCTTGAGTTACTGATGTACCTGATCTCAGATCATGCCCCACAATGTGTAACCCTGCACTTTGTTAGTTTAGTTAAAGAAAAATATTTCAGCAAAGATCAGAGTTCTGAGAGTAACGAATTGATATTGTCAGCGTAGAAGATAATTCTGTCAGTAAAACTACAATCAATAAAACAAGGAGATACAAATATTAAAATATTTTAGTGTTATTTTAATCAGTTATCTGATTTTTGTTTTGATTAATTTATTATTCAAACTACTTAATATCTAAAGTGAAATGCATTTTTATGCAGTGAGTTGAATATTTTCAAACACCTTGAAGTCCAGAGGCAGCAGTTTTGCTCCGTACACTGTCTCGCTGATGTTCTGGTACGTCTCGTTAAAGACCAGGGACTTTTCCCCGAACAGCCGGTTTGCAGAGACCAGCTCTGTGGTCTCGTCCTTCTTTCTGTACAAACGACAGTTCAGTTTGGCGAAGAAGAAGTGGACCTGGTCAGACGTCTTCTCCGAGATGGTGTCAAACTGAAACACCTGCAGACGTGAGGATAGAGTTCACGTTAGTTCTGCATCACTGGACTGATGGCTTCTTCTGAAAAGATCTCAATGTTCAAACAATCAMGGAGGTCAAATCTTTTAGAGCAATGAGGATGACAACAAGAAAACCAGTCCTCAACTAAACCTGAAACTACTGTGACCAAGTTGGTTGATTGATGGATTGATTGGTTGGATGGCTGATTGACAGATTGGTTGGATGGATGGTTGATTGACTGGTTGGTTGGATGGTTGGTTAATAGAGTTGGATGGTTGGTTGATTGATAGATTGGATGGTTGAATGGATGGTTGAAAGATTGGATGGTTGAATGGATGGTTGATTGACAGATTGGTTGGATGGATGGTTGATTAACAGATTGTTTGGATGGATGGTTGATTAACAGATTGGTTGGATGGATGGTTGATTAACAGATTGGTTGGATGAATGGTTGACTGACAGATTGGTTGGATGGTTGGTTGATTGACAGATTGGTTGGTTGATTGACAGATTGGTTGAATGGTTGGTTGATTGACAGATTGGTTGGTTGATTGACAGATGGATGGATGAATGGTTGATTGACAGATTGGTTGGATGGATGGTTGATTGGTTGGTTGGTTGGTTGGATGGTTGATTGACAGATTGGTTGGTTGGATGGTTGAATGACAGATTGGTTGGATGGATGATTGATTGACAGAATGGTTGGATGGATGATTGATTGACAGAATGGTTGGATGGATGATTGATTGACAGAATGGTTGGATGGTTGGTTGATTGACAGATTGGTTGGATGGTTGGTTGATTGACAGATTGGTTGGATGGATGGTTGATTGACAGATTGGTTGGCTGCTTGGTTGATTGACAGATTGGTTGGTTGGATGGTTGACTGACAGATTGGTTGGATGCTTGGTTGATTGACAGATTGCTTGGATTGTTGGTTGACTGATTGATTTATTGATTGATTGATTGACTTAGAATTATTATCATTAACAGAAATGAYACCCTGAGTTTCCCAAACTGGACCCCCTCCTCTCCACAAACATGACTGGAGACAGGTCAGACCTGAAGAGTCGACCCTGTATCAAGAACAAGCTTGATTCTGTGCTAAACACAGACTGGCTTTMGTTCTACAGGGACRGGATAGCCCCTTACAGCACCCCTGGCCCCCTGTACTCCCACAGCACACAGAATCTGGACCGCTCGGTCTCTCAGACCTTCATGATCTGCTCCAGCGTCTGGTTGCAGGCGCCCAGTTTGGTCATGGCGAAGGCCGTGGAGATGCTGATGGGGGACATGAAGATGTTGTCCTCAGGGCTCCTGCTTCGGCTCAGGTGTTTGTACAGAGACAAGGCGAAGCGGCTGTTGGCGTTCGACAGTTCCCACACTCGGGGGTTGGCGGGCTCTGGGAGGGCTTCGGGCTTCAGGTTCTGGTCCTCCGGTTCAGGTTTGCGGTAGATGCAGCGCGGCTGCAGAGCCAGGTCTTTGGGTTTGGTGTTGCAGATGTCCAGAACCTCAGAGGTGGACATCAACGGTAGAAACGCTACAAACAACAACCAATCAGCAGCCCTCATTCTGCAGCAAGAACCAATCAGAGGAGACMGGTAAGTATTTACAGTATTTACACTTAAATTAAAAAAAAAAGGTTTTATTTGAACTATTTTAGAACCTGATCAGAATTTCTCGTAAGTGTATCTAAGACTGATTTTTAAATCGTTTCATAATTAAATTTTAAAAAGATATTAAGTTTTTCTAAAAAAAAAAAAAAAAAAAAAAAAACGGTAAAATTACTTCAGGCAACAGAGATGGGACCAGACTTTTGGGTTTGTTATCGATTAAATAAGATAAAAAATGTGAAATATTGATTATAAATCAATAAAATGTCAACTGAAGTTAAAGCTCAGAGTTTCTGAAGCCAGGACTTTCAACTGAAATATGTATATACTGTATGTATAAATACATCTTACTAGGATAAATTATTTGTGTGTAGTACCACGAACAAAGTGTTTAACATTTATTTTTCAAAATAAAACCACAGAAACTGAATGAAATAAAATCTTTACCTGAGCAGGGTTAGATTTTAGAGCGGATCCTTCGGCTGCTTTTTTGACGTTGAAGCTGATTTCAGGTCAGCGTCCTGCGGAGCAACAAGACGTCACGTCGACCTTTGAGACATTGATCCGCCGCTCACCAGCAGATACCGAGAAACATCTGGACCTGAACCAGCTGCTGCTGCTCCACAGGTAAACAAACTCACCTCCTCACYGATCAATAACCATTCATGTGCAGAGGAAACAATCACAGGCCTCCTTTAACTTCTCTGGTAACAATGTGCAGAAAAAACTTTTTCTCTGATTCTGTTAAGAGTTGATATTTTATATAAAAACACTAAATTTAACGTCCCTGAAAATCAAAAGATGCACGAGTTTAACTGTTTTTTTTTTTAAAATAAAAACAAGCTTGAACTAGAGAAAATACATTTCCTGAGAAAATGCTAATGTGAATGCTCCATGCTGAAAACTTTGGCTGAAAGCTGCTGAAATTGAGCCAAAAATATTAATAGCAAAAGTGTTAATGTGAGCTCTTTTTGAAAAGATGTAAGCAAAAAAAAAAAAAAAAAAAAAAAAAAAAAAAATTTMAAAAAAAAAAAAAAAAAAAAAAGCCTAATTTTGCAGAAAATAATTAAAAAGAACACAGCTCCTTTTTACAGCTAAAATAGTAAACAAAGCTAAAATTAGCATAAAATAAGCTAAACAAATAGCAGGCATAACTTGAAATTAGCACCCAGTGAAAGTGCTGTAAAAACTTTAAATTAACAGGACAAAAAGCATAAAAGTACAAAAAAGTGACACTCTCTAGTAAACAGCTAAATTTTTCAGTAAAACAGCTAAAATGTAGCTGTAAATTCTGTAATTACCATAAGGAAGCATTAGCAGGACAAGTATGCTGAGACTTAGCAGAGAAAAATTGTAATTGCTACATAAAAATGTGTATTTAGCTTAAAAAGCCAACTTTAGCTTATAACAGCTGAACATTATTTAAACTTGCAGCAAATAACTGAATATAGAAGAATACATCTGCAAGAAACATAAATAGCACAAAGTTGCAGAAAAAAGAATAGCAGAAACAAGCAGAACTATAGCTAAAATAGCCAAAAAAGAGCTAAAATTAGCATAAAATAAGGTAAATGTAGCAGCCACAATTTGAAATTATGACTCAGAAAGAGAAAGGGTTGCATAAAATTTAAAATTATCAGAAAAAATGTGTTAAGTACAAAGAAGTGAGAATTTTTAGAAAAATAGCTAAAACAGCCAGAAATGTCAGTAAAACTTAGAAAAAAAAAAGGGCTGGAAATTATTTAAGGAAGCAAAAGAAGCACAAGCATGCTGAACTTAGCTGGAAAAAGTTGTTGTAATAGCTACAAAAAAATGTGTATTTAGCTTAGAAAAGCTAACTTTAGCTAGTAGCAGATAAACATTAGCTAAAATTCCAGCAAATATCTGAATGTAGCCGAAAGCTTCTGTAAGCATGAATAGAAACTGAAAAGGTACTGTAATAGAAATAATACTTTTATGTTTAAGCAGGCGATTCATGACATCCTTTAATGACCCAGGTTTTCATGACKTGCTGTTCATCTGCAGACAGAATGATTGAAGTCAGAACAAGYTCTGCTAACAACAGTCATTCTTAGATATCACTTGTGTTTATCTTTGTGTTTTCCATTGACCTTGTATCAAATCTTGCTAAGATGACAGAATGCTGTATATGAGGCCTCTCGAGACACAGTGTGCAACAGAGTTAGACAGTGAGCAGTGTGGAGAGAAGCAGAGGCACAGAGACAGGGCAGGTTGTTCTCTGTGTTCCTGTTGTTGCAATAAAACTCAGCTGATCATCTCACAGAGTACCTTCATTCTTGAGGAACGTATTTCTGTCTTTGTTAGATAAATATTGCCATAACAAAACAGAAAAGCGGAAAGAAGCAGAATTTTTGCTGAAATAGCAGAAAAAAGCTAAAATTAGCAAAATAGTAGCTAAAATTAACACAAGAAAGTGAAAAAGAGCAGAACCAGAACAATTTGTGTAAGGTGTTGTAAAGATTTAGAAACATTTGAAAGGATTTTAAAGATGTTAAAAACAGCTTCATCCTTTTTCTGTGGCTAAAAAAAGTGAAACAGCTAAAGTATAAAAGCTGAAATAATAAAAGTCAGCTCCCCTCACATTAACGAGCCGAACCTTTTCATTATGAATCGTTGAAAAAGCAGAAAAACTGGAACGAGTCCGATGATGAAAACATGTGTGTGAGGCTGTGAAGTCACAAAAACATGAAGTCTTTGAGAGACCAGGTCTGGACCGGCCCACTTCAAGGTCTCCTTTGAGCCACACAGGTGTGGGAGGTCCACCTCTGCAGGGGTCCAGGTGTTCCTGACAGAAGCCCCTCCCCCTCAGGTCCACCTCTGCAGGGGTCCAGGTGTTCCTGACAGAAGCCCCTCCCCCTCAGGTCCACCTCTGCAGGGGTCCAGGTGTTCCTGACAGAAGCCCCTCCCCCTCAGGCCTGTGATAATAAACAGTTAGCTTTAGCG